ATAATACGAAGTAGTTCAAAGGTATTAAGTACAAATAGAAAAAGATACCCCCAAAAATAAAAATATAGGAGTTAATTATTAATAAAAAGCAAAAGAGAAACGATTTTCATACGGGAATCACTGGCACAAAATGTACTGGAGATGACTCAAATCAGCTCACGCCTAATGCTAATTAAACTCAGAATGGGAAAACAAATTCTGACTGTTTTCTCCGTTTATGCACCACATACGCCAAAAATGACTTCTGGCACACAATTTCAGATACCGCCAGGAAAACACCATCATCAGAGATACCATTGATATGTGGCAACCTCAACGACCATGTTGGAGATAAAGCAAATGGGTTCCATGGGTCTCAAAACGAAGACGGTGTACGGATTCTCAAATCCATGAACTTTCCCTGTTGAACACCTATTTCAAGAAGAAGGCAGAGCATTTGATCAAATATAAAAGCGGAATGTTATGCACACAAATTCACTTTATTGTCGTCAGACAACAACACAGACAACTATTTAAAAATACCAAAATCATTCCAGGCGAAGCATGCATCCCTCAACATCGATTGCTAGCGGCCGATAGGATCACGCCCTGTGACTGATCGAATGCCTACTAGAATAAAGACATGGAAACTGAAGAATTCCATGTTCAAGGAGAAATTTGAGAAGTTGGTATCGTCACAGCTAGATCGTCTGAAAAAGGTAGACATAATCTGGAATTTTTTTCAGGACACCCTAGTGAACGCTACAACAACTGTATGTGGAAAATCTGAACCAAAACGCCAGCACAACCGCGAAACTTGGCGGTGGAACGAGACGGTGCAAATCGCTATTGCCAGTAATAAAGCAGCTTTCAAACAATGGCAGAAGACGAAAACTGATGAAGATCAAAAGACATACCAATTAAAGAATTAAAGAAAAATACAGAAGCAAAATGTCAGGTTGCAAGAGCTCGTGCAAATCAATGCAAGGTATAACTGACTAGAAGTTAAGGCGGACAAATTCGTTTACTCTACCGGATAGTAAATCAGACCAAAACACTGCAAAAGGGTATAGTTGGTGCCACATGCATAAAGAATAATAAAGGCACCATAATAACTTTGCAGAAAAAAATGAAGGATCACTGGAAGGATAACTTCGACCAGTTATTGAATGATACAAATTCTATTGTGGTGGACTTTGATGCAATTCAGAGCATCACAGCTGAAGAGCTTACGGATGCGCTGAAGGCAATGAAGAGGCTAAAGCGGATGGTCCGTTTGGACTTACAAATGATATAATCAAGTCATCTGGTGAGGCAGGCATCCGAACCCTCTTACACATCTGTCGGCAGATGTGGAGTAAATCGATGCTACCAGTGAAATGGGACAGTTGCACAACCGTGCCGATATATAAAAAAAAGAAGATCAGCTGAAAATTTCCTTATATCGGGTTATACGTCTTTTGAAACATTCTCTAAAAGTTATTGAAAAAGTCAATGAGAGAAGACTGCTGTCGTGCGTGTCATGGCAGGAAGAACAATTTGGGTTAGGGTTATATAAATAAAATTTTAACTCGAGGGAGGCCATCATCCTGATGGTGGCCTCCCTCGGAACAAGATGCAGCCAGAAAGCTTGAGATCTGGAATACCCAGCTCGCCGAACACGGGCTAAAGGTAAACTTTGACAAAACAAAAACTATAATTACCGGTGGTACCGCTGAGCCTGTAGTCTCTGGCCATTGGCCATGTTCGGTGTGTAGGGCTGAAGTCGGAAGCAACTCAATCAAATATCTACAATGTCAGCGGTGGTGTCACAAATGACGCTCGAGAATTTCCGGCTCACTGTGCATCAACCGCGACAACTGGGCCCAGATTACCGGGATCGAAACTGTTACTTCATTTCAGTATTTGGAAAATGTGCTAGATTGTACTAGAACAGCTGATGCTGCCGTTCATGGACATACGTGTGGCGTGGGGCAGATGGCACCTTCTTGCCTCAGAGCTTTACAACACAGCTATGCGTTCTGTTCGGATGTATGGTGAAGAGACGTAGCCGATGACAACAAAACTCGAACAGCAGTTTTACCAAACTGACATAAAGATGTTTGTTGGATGCAGCATGTTGGCCTAAAGTACTATATCCATACAACCGAAATTCTGAACCGATCGGGACTGTGCACGTTGAAGGATGCATGTCGTCGTCATTGCCTACGATGGTTTGGCCATGTGAAGCAAAGAGAAAACGATACAATATTTTCCGTTACTGAGCACCAGGTGCCTGGCACTCGCCCAAGAGGTCGCCCAAAAATGTCCTTGACGCAGCCCATACAGGAGGACTTGAAGGCACTTGATCTTAAGGAGACCGACGCAATGGATAGATCGGCTTGGAGACAGAAGCTGTTGAATGGAATAAAAAAGTTCGACCCATAACGGATGCTGTGAATTAAGCAGAAATGAAAAAATAGATGAAAAGAATTGATTATAAACAAAAATAATGTTCTCAAAATTAAAAAAAAACAAAGTTCGATGAAAAATGTAATGGTGAATCGAAATGAGATTATGTAATAAAAAAAAGGCAACATCATAAAGTTACCTACATTTTATCACATATCCAGAAGATACAAAATAAGATAAACAAAATATCAAGGTTGAATGATATTTAGTGTGGGTTAGGGTCGAAACGGACACTTGAACTTCTAACAACTAAATGTTAATTTATGTCCTACATAATTTTTTAACCATTAACGTTTTGGCAGTTTTTGCAGCAGTTTCTGAGCTCGAAAGATATAAAATAAATTAATAATTACACCGAGGTTGCGATTCCTCCTTTGGTACAAAATTACTCAGATTATTTTTATAATTTGAGTAATATTAAAATAATATTAAATATTATATAAACATTTTGCTTAATTGCAGTTTGTTACTTTATCTATTTTTGTGAATTTCATTTTTTTATCAATATAATATGTACTAGGATATTTAATGTATTCCTTCATTACTGCAATATTGTATATACGCTGGCAGATTACACATACAGCACCTCAATTATGCTCGACAATAAAATAACTGCTGCTCCATCCATTATTGAAAACTTTTTCTTTATCATCAATTTTTCGTTTTTTCAAATTTTAACTGCAAAAATTTTTAAAAATTAAAAAGCTAAAATAAATTACAAAATACAATGAAATTCATTCAAATCAAGAAATAAAAGCATAAAGAATAATTTTAGTACATAATTATCCCACAGCATTTTAACAACGAAATTAAACACTGAAACTGTAACTAAACTGCAAATATTATAAAAGTTAAAACGAGATACCTCCAGTATTTTTTAAAATGGCTGTTTATAACAACAACGAAAGATTAATAATAAGTACATTTTCATAGGCTTGATCAAACCACATAACTAGAATAAATATAACGGCTTTCGCTCACTTTTAACGGTCGAACAAGGAGCTTACTTTCGGAGGGTATTTGGAGGGTGATTTTTTAACGTTCGAGTCAAAAGTTACGATCGTATATTTACTAATTTCAGAAGATTGATTTTAATTAAAATGTTAAAATTTTATTTTTTTTAATTGTTATTCAATGTGGTAATTAATTACTTTTATTTGGTATAAATTTAAAAAAAAATAAAATCGATCTTAACGAAAATAATTAAAAGTTGAAAAAATTTAGGTTCTTTGCATATCCCTGCTTCAACCCATAAGAAAGTGTTGTATATTGGTAAGAAGGCCTTCACTTGGATCAAACTTTAAAATAGCATTTTATTTAATAAAATCAGTTTTGAATTTAATAAGATTAAAATATATGAAAGGCTATTATATTGGCATTAAAAATTAATCATGATTTTTAGTACAATAATTATTTTGTAGTTTAACACCGAGAACCACTTGGAGCTGTCTAGCGGGTTAGGTTGTGACTCACGGGCCCCAGTTGCACTTTCCTAGCTTTGACAAGCCATTTTGACCAATACCGGTTTTTCCCGGTCAATCAGCTTTTATTTTATAAATTACAAAAGATATTATTGTAATATTTTAACGTTTGTTACTACAGACACCAATGTTATAACTTCAATGATCTCTACATTTCCAACTCTAATGTTGTAGCTTCCAACGATCTCCAAGTGTTTGTTATTCCGTAGGTTCAAGATTTTCGATAGATGAACACAACCACTTCAAACGCAAACTTTGTTAAACGTTTATTTGAATGCCAATAGTAACAGAAACACTAAGCTAATCCAAGTAACTACATGAATCATAATTTTAACTTCGCATCAAACATCGCTATCCACAGATCCTTATAGAGTTTTACACTAGAATTTTATCAGATTTTATATCTTTTTACAATCTTCTAAGGTTTACAATACAAAAATTACAAATATAGCAAAACTAACAGTAATTAGGACAACAAAGAATATAACACAATTTTATAACATTACTCCCACCTTAGTCTGTTAGTCCCTAACAAAAGCGTTATTATTTTATTCCGATGAAACCTAACTCTAACTTTAACCTATCCAAATGAACAACTTTTATCTTTGCCCGCTGTCTCTCATATTTTTGGATCCTGTAAACCACGTCATTTATCTTGTTAATGATTTTGTTCCGAATTTCCAATTCCTTGGGAGTTTCACCTTTTCCTCGGCGTAGGTTTTAAAACTAGGTTAAATTTTTGTTGTTTCGGTTCCTCTAGCCATAGGCAGACGTTGAGGTCTTTTCTTGATTTTGCTGGCATTTGAAGCAAGTGCTTTCTTTTACTGAGTTTATGATATGAGTTGTTGAATGATTAGATAGATAGCTTAGATGCATGTTGCAATTGTTGTTGTTTTCATTTCATTTCTGATTTAATTATCATCAGCAATGAAGCCGTCATTAAAATCATCATACGGGTAGACGAGAACCAAGCTGTTTTTCCATTTGTGTGTTGGAGGTTTTTTTCGAACTTGAGCAATCATCGTCTGTCATCAATTCGTGTCCTGATTGAACGTTCACATTAACATTAACATCAAGGACATCGTTAACTTATGAACAACGACACCAGTGATTTAACGATTTCCAAGGAATGTTTTGATGTTTTGATGTTGCCTTTAACATTTGTTTTATAGGATCCGGAAAAGCAAACTCATCAGGATCGATTTCTTCTTTTATTAGAGCGTCCCTTAGGCGGTTTATCAACACTGCCCTCGCGCTTTTCGAGACAAGATTTTGTTGTCGTAGTTTCTTGCTGAGATAAGTTGTAATGAGTTTTTCTAATGCTGGCATACCAAAAGTTTTGATGTCTAATTTTGTTTCCGTGTTCTCGTTTGCCACTTCGTTAGGTGCGGTTTTTCCATTGGCTGCTCGTAATTCGACTATAATTGCCTTTAACATTTGTTTTATAGGATCCGGAAAAGCAAACTCATCAGGATCGATTTCTTCTTTTATTAGAGCGTCCCTTAGGCGGTTTATCAACACTGCCCTCGCGCTTTTCGAGACAAGATTTTGTTGTCGTAGTTTCTTGCTGAGATAAGTTGTAATGAGTTTTTCTAATGCTGGCATACCAAAAGTTTTGATGTCTAATTTTGTTTCCGTGTTCTCGTTTGCCACTTCGTTAGGTGCGGTTTTTCCATTGGCTGCTCGTAATTCGACTATAATTGCCTTTAACATTTGTTTTATAGGATCCGGAAAAGCAAACTCATCAGGATCGATTTCTTCTTTTATTAGAGCGTCCCTTAGGCGGTTTATCAACACTGCCCTCGCGCTTTTCGAGACAAGATT